CTTGGGGACCTCAGGGAGGCTTTGGGGCTCTCGCGAACCCCCTGGGGATCTCAGTGACACCCCTGGGGACGTTGGGGACGTTTGGGGGGGTCCTCGGTGACCCCATTGTGTCCCCCCCCACGTGACAGCTGTCACAGCACATGAAGCTGAAGCTGCAGTTCACGGCGGGGGGGGCCCCCGAAGCTCGGCCCCCATCCACCCCGCAGCGCCGCAGCAGCCCCGGCAGCGCCGTACGGGATCTGGTGGAGCGGCACCAGGGTTTGGGGCGATCCCAATCCTTCTCCCATCAGCAGCCGGCGCGGGGACACCTCAGCAGGTGGGGGACATTATGGGATGTTGGGGGCAGCGGGGCCAGTGGGGGCGTTTGGGGGCTTGGGGGATATTGGGGTCAGCGGGGGCAGTGGGGACATTGGGGGATGTTGGGGGCGTTTGGGGGTTTGGGGGACATTGGGGTCAGTGGGGGGGTGTGGGGGGCAGTGGGGACGTTGGGGGGCAGTGGGGACATTGGGGACATTGGGGGCAGTTGGGGGTTTGGGGGATATTGGGGGCAGTGGCGGCATTGGGGGCAGTGGGGACATTGGGGGACAATTAGGGGTTTGGGGTCAGTAGAGGCAGTGGGGACATTGGGGGCAGCGGGGACATTGGGGGACGTTGGGGGCATTTGGGGATTAGGGGGATATTCGGGGCAGTGGGGTCAATGGGGTCAGTGGGGACACTGGGGTCAGTGGGAACATTGGGGGCCATTGGGGTCAATGAGGTCAGTGGGGACATTGGGGTCAATGGGAACATTGGGGTGAATGGGGACATCGGGGTACATTGAGGTCAATGAGGACATTAGGGCCAATGGGGGCACTGGGAACATTGGGGCCAGTGGGGGCATTGGGGTTAGTGGGGACATTGGGGCCCATTGGGGTCAACAGGGGTGTTGGGGAACATTGGGGCCATTGGGGTCAATGAGGTCAGTGGGGACATTGGGGTCAATGGGAACATTGGGGTTACTGGGGCTAACGGGGAACACTGGGGTGAATGGGGACATTGCTGTCAGTGGGGTCAATGGGGACATTGGGGGCCATTGGGGTCAGTGGGGCCATTGGGGTCATTGCGGTCAGTGGGGTACATTGGGGCCAATGGGGGCACTGGGGACATTGGGGTCAATGGGGACATTGGGGTGAATGGGGACACTGGGGGACATTGGGGTGAATGGGGACACTGGGGGTCAGTGGGGCCATTGGGGTCAGTGGGAACATTGGGGTACATTGAGGTCAATGGGGGCACTGGGGACATTGGGGTTCATGGGGACACTGGGGGACATTGGGGTGAATGGGGGACACGGGGGGGTCAGTAGGAACATTGGGGGATCTTGGGGTCAGTGAGAACATTGGAGGACCTTGGGGTCAATGGGGACTTTGGGGTCAGTGGGGAATTGGGGGTGTTGGGGACATTGGGGTCCATTGGGGTCAATGGAGACCCCCCCACCCCTTTGGGGCCAGCCCGAGGTGCCGTCCCATTGTGTCCCCCCCCCAAAAAAAGGTCAGGCAGTGCCCTGGAGCGCCGCGCCATCACCCCCCCAGTGGGGTCCCCTGTGGGGCGGCCCCTCTACGTCCCCCCCGAAAAGACGGCGCTGTCCCTGGACAAGATTGCCAAGAGGGAATGCAAAGTGCTGGTGGTGGCACCCGTGCAGTGACGGTGACAACAGGGTGGTGACAAAAGGTGACAACGGGGGGACGGGGGACCCCCACCGCCCCCTGCTGCGATGGGGGGAACGTAGGGGACGCCGTCCCCAGCCAATGGGGTGACACGGGGATGTGTCCTTTGGGGCAGGGAGGGGACAGCGGGGGATTTGGGGGACGATGGGGGACACTAGGGGACATGGGGGCCATGGGGACATTTGGGGACATTAGGACCATGGAGACATTGGGACCATGGGGACATTTGGGGGCATTTGAGGACACTGGGATCAGGGGGACATTGGAGCCATGGGGACATTTGGGGACATCTGGGGACATTTGGGGACATTGGGACCATGGATACACTGGGGCCATGGGGACATTGGGGGACACTAGAGGACATTGGGACCAGGGGGCCATTTGGGACATTTGGAGACATTGGGGCCATGGGGACATTTGGGGACACTGGGAGACATTGGGACCAGGGGGACATTTGGGGACATTGAGGGACACTGGGGCCATGGGGACACTGGAGGACATTTGGGGACATTGAGGCTATGGGGCCATTGGGGGACATTTGGGACCACTGGGGGACATTGGGTGACACTGGAGCTGTGGGGGCATTTGGGGACACTGGAGACATGGGGACATTTGGGGACAGGTGGGGACATTTGGGGACACTGCTGTTATGGGGACAGTGAGAGTGAGGCCATATTGGGGCTTTGGGGACATTTGGGGCCATGGGGACACTGGGGAACATTGGGGCCATGGGAACATTTGGGGACATTGGGGCCATAGGGATACAGGGGGACATTTGGGGACGTTTGGGGACACTGCTGTTCTGGGGACAGTGAGAGTGAGGCCATATTGGGACCTTGGGGACATTTGGGGCCATGGGGTCCCTCACTGCCAACCCCGGCGCTTTGGGGACATTTGGGGACGCGGCGCTGTCCCCAACGCGGGCAGAACTTTCACTGTTATTTATTGCACCCGTGTGACAATAAAGTGGTGGCACAGAGGTGACAGTGTGACAGGGACACTTTGGGGACACTTTGGGGTCACCCACCCCCCCACCCCCAGAGCCATTTTTCCCCCAAAAGGAGCAGCGTTGGGGACACGTGAGGACATAATTTATTGTCACGGTGTGGGGAGGGGACACTTTGGGGGCAGTTGGGGACATTTTGGGGACACTTTGGGGACGCTCAGGCCGTGATGGGTTCCTGGACGTGGTTCTGTCGCTTCACCACGAAGAGCTTCTGCCCCGAAACGGTGACCAGGAGGGAATGCTCCCCAAAAACCACTGCGGGGACAACGGGGACAGCGCTGGGGACGTGGGGACAACGGGGGGACATCAGGGGGACACTGGGGTATGGGGACATTGGAGGCATTGGGGGACATTGGGGTGTGGGGACATTGGGGTGTGGGGACATTGGGTTATGGGACGTGGGGAGAATGGGATATGGGGACACTGGGCCATGGGATTTGGGGACATTGGGGACGTTGGAACATAGGAATATGGGATTTGGGGACATTGGAACATGGGAACATGGGATTTGGGGACATTGGGTGATGGTGATACGGGATGTGGGGACACTGAGAGGACATGGGAATATGGGACGTAGGGACATAGGGATGTGGGACATGGGGTCATGGAGATACAGGATTTGGGGACATTGGGACATGGTGATACGGGGTTTGGGGACACTGAGATGGGGATATAGGATGTGGGGACGTTGGGATATGGGACGTGGGGTCATGGAGATATGGGATTTGGGAACAGTGGGCTATGGGATTTGGGACATTTGGGGACACTGAGGACATTGGCTATGGGATTTGGAGGCATTGAGATGTGGGGTTATGGGATGTGGGGTCATAGAAATATGGGATTTGGGGACATTGGAACATGGGAATATGGGATGTGGGGACACTGGG